ACGCGGCTTTACAATGACGTAATATTTCGCTGCGATCATATTTCGTGCCACATATTTTGCGATACCAATCACTTATTTTGGTTTCGTTCTCGACCGGAGTTGCCCCTTAAGAGTGGCAAGGTGTAGATCATTATGTCGACGTTTCTCGCTTCGTGTCTGGCTGTTCGGCATCGTTAACGGCTAATGGCGCCATCTCTTTTGCTTCGGAGCAGTAATGAGGTGGTCGGTACTTGCGACAGCCTGCGTTTCGGGATGAATATGATTCGCCGTATGCGTACTCGTCACGGGACAACTGGTAACGTGATGTTTCGGCCCGCACGTACATTTGTCATCATGATGTAGAATACCCGAGACTGTGGTAAACGCTTTGAAACTTGATCGAAGAAAGAGGAGACGGGAAAAGAACGTCTCAGACTCAGCTACTGGGTTTATTTCCTCAAAGCCTTACATATCCAGAACCTAATCAGCGACCACCGACGTCACAATGTCAACCTTTGTTATACAATTCTACCCACAACGGTGACCTCAATCCCAAACTGGAAACTTGGGACCTTGAACAAAACAAACACAACAAAACAAACACACTGACCCACTTCCTTTTCAGACGGAGTCTGAAAGGGCTGTGCTTTATATAAACGAGAACTGATATGACCTCCAACTGAACCCCTGCCCGCAAAATGACTCATTGCACGCTAAATTACAAAAAACAACACCAACAACAACAATAACAACAATATCAACAACAACAACAACGACAACAACAACAACAAATTGACAAGCACATTACATTTTAAGAAACTTTTTGAACGACTTCCGAGTTGCATCCAAGCATGGCTGATACAATTATCGATAGATTTAATACGAACTGTCTCTTTTATGAGCCTCTTAGTGTTGTTACGCTCTCTGTGAACAGTGTCAGTTTGCGACCAATGTTCCGTACAATCGTTGCACTCCCTAATGTGTTTAGCAATCTCTGAGTTGGGTGCGTTTACTTTTACATTTCTTTTGTGCTTTACAAATCAATCATTTACACACCTTGGCGTTTGACCTACGTACTTGAAACCGCATTCCAGTGGTATTTCATAGACGACCCCTCCCTTGCAATCAACCGAATTATCACGGTGCGCTTTCTGACAAAGATTCTGAGTCGTCTGAAACGGCGTCAAACGGTTCAGTTTGAAGTCGAACTTAAACGCTACATGCATCCCAAATATTTTTGCGCATGCTTTAAGGTTATGAGAAATTTCGTGAAAATGCAAAATAACCTCATAATGTTTTTTCGCTTCCCTTTCTGGTCGTTGTTTAGCCTTTTGCTGCCACTCCAATTGTCTTTTTATGAACACACTATCATAGCCTGCATCTTCTAACCTTGAACACTGCCGTTCTACCGCATAACTCATGAAATGGGCACAGGACTTTTCCAGTGCGTTGCTGATTAAAGATCTGGTTACACCGGCTTATACTGATTTAGCATGACAACTTTTCCTACTCAAAACGGGGTTTGCGGCCATTTTTCCGTTCTCCCAACATAAACCCCCTCCACGTGAATGCGTAGGTCCAGAAATTGTAGAATACCATTGTCCGACTTTTCTAAGGTAAACTGAAGTTCCGACACCGCTCCGCTCACTGTCCGTTCCAAATCAAGTACATCCTATCCGCGAAATGAGCCGATCAATATGTCATCGGCATATCTCCTTACAAAGCCCGTATTCTCTTACGGTAGCATCTTTGTTGTTAAGGTAGATTTCTGCTTGCATTGGAGCAACCCATGAACCTATACACACGCAATCTTTTCGTACGAATTTGTGTTCATTGTACTCGACTACCATTTCCTGAAGATGCAGATCCAGAATGGCAAAAAAAAAATATCTACGGATTTTCCTAAGTGCGATTGAAAATGAACCAAACTCAAGTCCACAGCCTCACGAACCCTCTGCATTAGACGTGCCTTATCTAGCGAACAATACAAGTCTATTATGTCCACGGAGACTACCGAACATCCCTTTCCATGAACTCCTTCCAGGATACTGATCATTTCGTTCGAATTCTTAAGGACCAGAATTTTTTCAAACTGCACAAGATTCAACCCTTGTTGGATAAATCGCGAGATGGTGTGCTGCCACGTTCCGTTCTCGTTCAACACTACATGAAAGGGCATGTCTACTTTATGATCTTTTAGAAAAAAAAAAAAACTTTACACTTAACGTCATTCCTGCTTGACTCATAACCTTTTTTTGCCAGTGCGTCTAACTCGTCTTCCTTTAGCTTTTTTTTCAATCAGCCAACATTTCCCCTCCATTTAACAAAAAAAGAATTCAAAGAGTCAGCCAATTTTCTTTCGAACATCGTCGACGGAAGGACAGCAAAATTGCCGGATTTATCTGTCTGCAGCACTTTAAGCAACACTCATTCTAATTCTCTCTGAACTGAAACTGTTTTTACATTTTTCATATCGCGACACTCTTCCATCGGAAAATTGGTCACATTGAGAGAGCAGGCAAAGATACCAATGCAGTTTAATGGACCTTTTCATTATACCGACGGCACCCAGTGGTGGCTGCACAATCTAAATATCGAGGAAGTGACCTACCTGCGATACCAATCAATAATAGGAGCTACGGTACCAGTTTCTTCGCTTTCTGAGCTGCGGCGCGTGCCCAACGCGACTTGAAAGCGTCCACCCAAACGTCGTGTTTTTCTTTCCGTCCACTTTCTTCTTTTGTGTAACACAATTATATATATGCTGCAATTACATGTTCTACTCCCTGATCCACAGCCTCCTTCCGAATTTCCTCGACTTTTCGTGCCGACTTCCGCCGCTTGGCATTCGGGCGCTCGCGCGTGCGCAGAACACTTCTCGGAAAAGGTCCATTGCTTGGGTCAAAATGTTGTTTTTGTCTGGAAAATCAGGGTCCTTGGAAAACCCGAAGGAGCCAAGGTACAGCGAAATTTCTTTTACAAATTGTGGGATGCTGGGACCCAATTCGCCACAAAAGTGCCCAAGTTAGACTACATCTGCAGGTTGCTTGGCTTTCATCTGGCGTCTTTGGGAATAAATCGCCAAACAAGCCCCGGTGTTAGGCTTCACTTCTGTTATCACGGAAGCTTGGACGAGTCGGTTGTTTAGATTTCACGCGCCAACTTTGGTCGTAAATTGCCAGAGAAGCACAACATTTAGGCTTCACTGGCGGTTCATCGGTTCACACCTGGCATCTTTGGCTAAAGTCTTGCACTTTGTCAATATGTGCCAAACCAGAGAAAAAGTATTGAAACGGCACAAACACGTCAGACGACCTGGCCGTATTACAAACCGACATGAATATTTTATCTTCTTGGTGCAATCAATGGAAAATGAGCCTAAATTGAAGTAAATGTAAACATATTCGTTTCTCGAGAAGTAAGCTGCACGATTCTCATAGCTACCTAATTAACGGGACTGTTTTATGTACTGTGTTTGAGTATGTTTACCTAGGAGTGCTATTTGCGGATTCCCTAAAATGGAACAGCCTTATAGAACGTACAATCGGAAAGGCTAGTAAAATGTTTTATTTTATTCGCCGAAATTCTAGATCCGCGTCGCGAAACGTTAAAGAAACACTTTATTTTTCTTTGGCAAGAACGATCCTTGATTACGCGTGCGTTGTGTGGGACCCTTATCACGACTTCCTTATCAATAAACTAGAAAAAAATTCAAAATCAGGCCGCGCGTTTTGTACTGAACAACTATGACCCTTTTGCTAGTGTTACAGATATGAAAGCCATGCTGGGATGGGAAACACTCGAATGTAGACGAAAAAAACTAAGACTAAAATTTTTCCACCGTGTCTTTCACAACCAAACAAAAATTGATAAAGCCATTTATCTTATGGAGCCATCCTACGTTTCTTCCCGTTCTGATCATTCTAAAAGGTTGCTGTTCCTACTTACAGGACTGACAGTTTTGCGAATTCATTTTTTGTCACAACCGCGAGAGAGTGGAACGACCTCCCGGAAGATATTGTGTCCATTGATGATAATGACGTTTTCTTTTTCCACTTGTTATAATGTTTTCTAAAAACCCCCTACAATAATGCCCACAAGGCGATGTAGGTACAATGTAAATAAAATAAATAAATAATAAATAAAATAAATAACGCTTCGGAGGAAAACCGTATTAGGCAGAAGTTATATAGTTTCTTGGAATCACCAAGCCTATGTGCCAGTTATGGAGTTTCTCTGATGTGCTATTCGGGTAATAAACTACACACCGTAACTTTCACAAACTGCCTTTCTTCCCCGACGATTGTGCAGTTAGAATCACGTGACGCGATTCCCTAATAAATACGAATACGCACTATCTAGATAGATAGATGGGTAGATAGAAGGCTTAGAAAGTAAAATTTTACGTTAACAACGCAGTTGTATGTTTTATTGTGTTTTTATTGTTAGATTAAACACAGTATAGCAATGTAAATTTTAACACGCTAAAAGCCGGGGTCACACTGCCTATACATCATACAAAAGACAGACTGCAGACACGAGTCACCGCAATATCCGTGGTTCGAATGCCGCGTGTCAAGTTGCTCCTTGAATGCATTGCTATGGGGCATTCAAAGCACAAATCTCGGGGTGACTTGCGTTCCAGTTTGTATGCAGACTGGCTTTTGAATGATGTATAAACTAGGGTGCCTTCATGTGCGCTTTGCTTGGGGTGATGACATCTGGCCATTTTGTTTCGAACGCTTATTTTTATTTTATGTTCTGAAGCGCGTGAAAGAGCGTGTCCCTGCACGCGCTCGTCGCGCTGACTATGTTACGTCGACATTTTGTTTCCACCGATTTCTTTGTATTTTTCCTGTGAGCGCGTGCTGTCGGCATCGGGTACTACAAACGATGGCATCACCCTGAACAGAAGGGCATTGAGGCAGTCTAGCATAAACAATGCGATCCTGTCTTAAGGGGCACACCTGAAAAGTCAGACACGGATTTATGTAAACGCTATTTTTTTAAATATTTTTTAGGTGATCTTGGTTACTACGACAATGACGGCTGTCTTTACATTGTGGAGAGGTTGAAAGACATGATCAAATGTTCGGGAAACCAACTGGCTCCGGCAGAGATTGAGGAAATTCTGCTGACTCATGCCGCTGTCAAGGAGGCCGTGGTCGTTGGTGTTCCCAGTGCCAAATACGGAGAAGCGCCAGCTGCTTGTATCGTGTTGAAGGAGACGGTTAAGTGTGACAAAAACGCTCTCCAGGCGGAACTGAAGCAGCTTGTTGCAGGTGAGCTTTCGTAGCTTAAAAAACTCCACCAGAGCTGCGCGTTTTTATTTTTCTAACTTGCACGGTTTTTTTCTTTTATACTTGCACGTTTTCTCTCTTGGGCTGGGCAGAGATACCCCGAAAAGTACTCCGGAATACACATACTGAAATACATGTATGTTAAAGCCAAAACACAGATACCAGGTACAAGTATTTCATGACCACAATACTTATACTGAGATACGCTCATGGTTTAGGTAACCGAATATTCCTGAGACCTTGTGCGAAAATGCAAGAAAGGTATTCCGGGATGCAAATAGAGATACACAGAAAAAATAATTTGTTACCAAAAAATGGCAGATGGTAGGAAGGACGCAGTTTGTAGCGAATGGATTGAAAGGACTTACGGAACTTTTTTTCGTGGCAGTTTATGGGTGTCCCCTTAACTCAACACCTTAATCTGCTCATCTACCCCAAATGTCGCTAAAATGAAATCGTCCCCAGTGACCCGTATATGTACTGAAGGCCTACGACAGTCTGCCATGCTTGACAAAAGGCGCCTGCCGGAAATGAACCCTGTTTCGCTGTGAAGTAGCGTCTCAAACTGAGACGCTTCTTCAACAACACCAGAGCCCAACCTGGCTGCCCTAAGCAACCATAGTCAGCACGAAACTTGTTGCAACATAAGATGAAGAGAAGATTGTACAAGTCCTCTACTGTCCACGATTTGTGGCGTTCTTCTCTCTAATCGCCTCCTTTCCAGCGTTTGATGCGCTAAAGTGGAATTAATGGAGAGATCTTTGAAAGGAACTAATCTTTGCACCACTTTTAATGCTTAACCATTAGAACGCTCGTTTTCACAAAAGCCCACCGGTATCAGTCTTACGCGTCCGTTAGTCTGCGCCATGCATGACGTCGCGAGGAGAGTGGGGTGGTGAGGAAGTATAGTGTTTACAGACTCAGTGTCTTACCACGGCGGCGGGAGAAAGGGAGAGGGTGACGCGTGCTGACGTCAGCGACTCGGACCAATACGAGCGTCGCACAGCTGGCGCGGAGCCAGAGACGAGCAGGCGCCGCTCCGCTTTGGAATGCGGCCTAGCTCTGTTGATGCTTTTGCGATGGATGTGGTTCTTTTCACGAGTGATAAAGGGTGTGAAAATAGATTAAAAAACGGATCAAAAAGGATTCAAAAGAGTAAACGAATGGAAAGGGGTAAAAAATAGCAGAAACGAGGTGATAAACGAATGGCAAGGGGTCCTAAACGAATGCAGGGGATTGAAAAGGAAATAAGAAAGAACCAATGCCAACGCAATCTTTTCGTTGCGTTTCCTTCACACTTATGGAAAATTAACGTATGCGATCAAAATACCAGGGGTTTTCGAACCAAAGGTAAAGTATTTTTTCTAATGCACTTGAATGCGATCATGACATCAATTGTCTGACAGAAACGGGGTTAAATGAGTTCTATAAAAACAATTCCTATTTTTCAAATCAGTTTTCTGATTTTATGGCAGACAGAAATTATTCTAAACTACTTAAATATAGGGTAGGTGTCCCTGTGAAATGTAAGTCTACATTTTATACTATAGGCGAAAATACCTTGAGACATATATGGAGTGTGTTTGGTTAGAAATAGCCCTGCAGGCGGTTCGAACTGTCTAATTGGTGGCCACTATTTTCCGCCGAATTTGGATGTTTGTACATCTTCCGCCCGTTTGGCAAACCTTGAGAGCAGAATTGATTTTTCAAAATATAAGGTGCACACCCACGGTGATTTCAGCTTTCCGAGAGTTGACTGGTCTACTGGCCTAATAAGTAGTGACTGTGCTTCGTTAGGTCAAAAAGTAAAATGTTTTATGCATTTTATTTGTTTTAATGATCTTTATCAGCCCAATCGCTTGAAAAATTATGCTGGTAACATTTTGGATTTGATTATATCGAATGTACCGATATTTGATTTCGGTGAAGCACGAGAACTGTTTGTTCCGGTAGACAAATGTCATCCACCATTTACTCATTGTTTTTTCTTGTATATTCCAAGCACTGCGGGAGCATACAGCGCCAAAATTCATGTATGCGCAGGATGACTATCTGGGCCTATTCAATTGTTTGCGTGGCTATGATTGGTCGAGCCTTTTTCATCTGAAGGACGTCAACTCTCGCTTGGAATTATTCACACCTACAGTCCAGCGGAATATTGAATTTTATACCCTGGCACCGTCCGAAACACTCTAAATTTCCTTATTGGCTTTCTTCAAACCTAAAACATTATATGCAAAAAAAAAAAACAGAGGTACGACAGATTATACAAAAGCTTAAAGAGCAAATATTGGTATCAGAGATTTTAGATTTGTAGAACAATAGTCAAAAAGGCTTTATTGCCGAGATGGGACGCGTTATCACAGTCAGCTGGAAGATAAGTTTAAGAAAGATCCTAGTTGCTTGTGGTGGTATGCGCGTTCGCAAACCAAAAAGGATGTCAGCACTGTCGTGCTCATGGACTGCGATAAGGTATTTTTCAAACAAAAGGAAGTGTGTAAGGTTTTTGCTGAACATTTTAGAGCTTGTTTTCTTTTTGTAATCTTCTGAAGTCCCTGCGGCTATTGCTATAAGGGATTTTGCTGACTGCTTGGCCTACCACGATGTAGCAAAGAATGAGGTGGCGTTTTCCTTCCTGAAGCTTAGGGCAAAACTCTCTGTTGGCTGTGATGGCATTCCGAACTTTATAATCAAAGGATGTAGTAAAATATTCGTACCTATTCTTACATGTATATTCAACTTGTCTCTAAAAGGTCACTAGTAATACTAGTCTTTAAGACTGGAAATCCTTGCAATGTTATTAACTTTCGTCCTGTGCCTCTGTGGCTTTTCGAAGGTTTTTGAAATGGTGGTTTATGAGCGCTTATACTCCTTTTTTAAACAAGAAGTTATACTATCACTGCACGTATTTCTCAAAGGCAGATCTGTTGAAACAAACTCCAGTGCTATTCTTGGTCATAGTGGACCTACCGTATATGACAGCGGTCAAGTGGATCTAATTCATTTTGATATGACTAAGGCCTTTGTCAAGGTTGGCCACCAGATACTTTTGCTTAAACTGAAAGAATGCGGACTATGCCCGCTGTAGTGTGCTAAATTTGAAAGTTACCTTGAAAGTCGTCGAAATCGGGTTAGATTGTTTTACTGTTTGTCTGAATCATATGCATCTATCTGGAGTTCCGCAGGGTTCTAACCTGGGACCACCTCTGTTCTTAGTGGTTATTAACAATTTACCGTCCTGGATTAAAAACTGAAAGGTACTCATGTTCGCTGACGACTTAAAATTGTTCCGCAAAGTTGAAAATATTAGGGATTGCACATATATACAATATGATATCCGCTTTCTTGAACATTGGGGCTTGACAAATGGACTTTTACTGAACACAAAAAAATCCAGTAGTGATGTCCCTTACTAGGAAAACAGAGAGCCTAATGTATGACTATACCCATTTTGAAGCTGAAGTGGAGCGAGTGTCGGACGCACGTGACCTTAGTGTGATTGTAGACTCAAGATTAGATTTTCGTTTGCACGTTTTTCGTATTGTTAGTCATAGTCTCCGCTGCCTTGGCGTCGTTTCGCGGTTGACAAGGAAATTTCGTTTTCCTGCAGGTGTCTGTTAACCTTGTGCTGTGCACTTGGTAGATCGCGTCTGGAGTTCGCGTCAGTAATGTGGAACTTTATTCTGACGTCATGGAGCAATTTAATTGAAAATCTTCAGCGTAGATTTATACCAATTTTATATGATAGACATATTGTCCGCCACCGCTTTTACGGCTACAACTCTCTTTTGATGGACCTCAATCTTTTAACTCTGCATGATAGAAGAATTGCTAGAGATATGCACTTTTTACATCAGGTTGTGAATGGTGCTATTGACTGTTCTGAGTTGTTGATGGCGTTGAGATTCCGTGTGCCCTCTGGGCGGTCGAGCTGTCGATATACTTTTTTTAATCTTAACGTGCAATCAATCTGACCGATGGTACGATTGCAACAAAGCTATAATGCCTTGTTATTAGATGACGCCATTTTTGTTTGAATTTGTTGCTTGAGAAAATACATTTATCTTCTGTATTCACTCATTGTACAATGCACTGCCGCCCAGGCCACTTCGCTGTTGGCAGGCACTTCATAATATTACCTACCTACATACCTACCTACCTACCCCCTACCTACCTACCCCCACACACCCATCTACCCACCTACCTACCTCCCTACCTACCCACCCACCCACGCACCCACCTACCTACTACCTACCAGTCTACCCACCCACCCACCCACCCTCCAACCTACCTACCCACCTATCTGCCTACCTACCCACATACCCACCTTCCCACCCACGCACCCACCTACCTGCCCATCCACCTGCCTCCCTACCTAACTACCTGCCCGCCTACCTGTCTGCCTGCCTGCCTGCCCGCCTGCCCGCCTGCCCGCCTGCCTACATGCCAGCCGGCCGACCCACCCACTCACCCACCCACCAGTCTATCTATCTATCTATCTATCTATCTATCTATCTATCTATCTATCTATCTATCTATCTATCTATCTATCTATCTATCTATCTATCTATCTATCTATCTATCTATCTATCTATCTATCTATCTATCTGTCTGTCTGTCTGTCTGTCTGTCTGTCTGTCTGTCTGTCTGTCTGTATGTATGTATGCATGTGTATGTATGTGTATGTGTATGTATGTGTATGTATGTGTATGCGCATGTATGTGTATGTGTATGTATGTGTGTATGTATGTATGTGTATGTACGTACGTACGTACGTATGTGTATGTATGTGTGTGTATGTATGTGTATGTATGTATGTTTATGTATGTATGTGTACGTATGTATGTGTATGTATGTACGTACGTACGTACGTATGTATGTGTATGTATTTGTATGTATGTACGTACGTATGTATGTGTATGTATGTATGTGTATGTAGTATGTATATGTATGTATGTATGTGTATGTATGTACGTACGTAC